AAGATACTTTAATAAAGGTGAAATCTTTATTGTCACATTGAAGGATAAGGAAGACCAGAGCTTGATCATGTTGGCTTTTCCAGCCAACATCCTTTAGTTTCCTCCTTCCTGTACCCTGTATTCTTCAGCCATCTACTTTTTTTTTTGCTTTTGTTTCATGTGTGTGTATTTTTATACTCCCAATTAGCATATAAACTTTTGTAAAGGATGTGGTGAGTCATTTTTTTACTTTCCTTTTTCCAGTTTTATTGAGATGTAATTGATATATATCACTATATTAGTCCAAAGTATACAACATAATGATTTATGTATGTATTGCAAAGTGATTAGTTCAATAAGTTTAGTTAACATAACATCAAGCATCTCACATACTTATAATTTTTCTTCTGATAAGAACTGTTAAGATCTACTCTCTCAGCAACTTCCACGTATTGTTAACCATAGTCACTGTGCTATGCGTCACGCGCCCAGGACTTACTTATCTTATACCTGAAGTTTATACCTTTTGACCAGCTTCATCCATTACTCTTATCCCCCACCTCTGGCAACTACTAATCTGCTCTCAGTATCTACAAGCTCAGTTTTGTTTTGTTTTTAAGATATCACATTTAAGTGACATCATGCAGTATCTATTTTTATCTTTTCTGACTTCATACAGTATTTATCTTTATCTTTTCTGCCTAATTTTACAGATGTGTATGCCGCATTTTCTTTCTTTATTCATCTGTCACTGAACACTTTGGCTGCTTCCATGTCTTGGCTATTACAAATAATACTGCGATGAACATGGGGATACAGATATCTTTTCAAGATAGTGATTTCATTCCCTTAAGATAAATACCCAGAAGTGGAATAGTTGGATCATATGGTAGCTCTGTTTTTAGAGAAACCTTCATACTATTTTCCATAGGAGCTTTATCAGTTTACATTCCCCCCAAGAGTGCACAAGGGTTCCCTTTTCTCCACATTTTAGCTAGCATTTGTGACTTCTCATCTTTTAGATAATAGTCATTCTAAGTGAGATGATAATCATTGTAGTTCCGATCTGCATTTTACTGATAATTAGTGATATAGAACATCTTTTTTTATTTACCTGTTAGCCAATTGGATGTCTTCTTCGGAAAAATGTCTATTCAGTTCATCAGCCTATTTTTAAACCATATCGTTTGTTTTCTTTGCCATTGAGTTGTATGAATTCTTCGTGTATTTTGGATATAACCTGTTACCCATTGTATGGTTTGCAAATATTTTCTCCCATTCAATAGGTTGCCTTTTCATTTTGTTGCTGGTTTCATTGCTATGCAAGAGCTTTATGTTATGGGGTAGTTTCACTTGATGATCCTTTGCAGCAACATATTGTCAAGACACTGTTTTCTTCTAGGGGTTTTATTGCTACAAGTATTATGTCCAAGTCTTTAACCAATTTTGCATTAATTTTTGTATATGGTATAAGATAATAGTTGAATTCCATTGTTTTGCACGTGGCTGTTCAGTTTTCTCAACACCATTTATTAAAGAGACTATTGTTCTTCATTGTATATGCTCAGCTCCTTTGTTGTAAATTAATTGACCATATATGTATGGATTTATTTCTTGGCTCTCCATTCTGTTCTCTTTATGTGTCTGTTTTTATGCCAATACTGTACTGTTTTAAATACTATAGCTATTTAATATAGTTGGAAATCAAGAAGCGTGGTACTTTTGGCTTTGTTCTTTTTCAAGATTTTTTTTTTTTTTTTTTTTTGTGGCTATTTGGAGTCTTCTGTGGCTCCATACAAATTTTAGGTGTTTTTTTTCTATTTCTGTGAAAAAAACCTTTGGAATTTTGATAGTGATTGCATTGAATCTGTAAATCGGTTTGGGTAGTGTGAATATTTTAAAACTATTAATTGTTCCAGTCCATGAGCATGGAATAGCTTTCCATTTATTAATATTATTTATAGTTTCTTTTATCATTGTCTTTTATTTTTTGGCATATAGGTCTTTGACCCCCCACTTCATTAAATTTCTTTCTAGATATTTTATTTATTTTTTGTTGCAATCGTAAATGAGATTTTTAAAAATAATTTTCTGATAATGTATAAAAATTTAAGTGATTTTTATACTTTTTTTTGTATTATGTATTTTTGCTGAATTCACTGATTAGTTCTAATAATTTGTGTGTGTGGGTGGGTGTGTGTGGAGTCTTTAGGGTTTTTTATATATAATATTATATTATCTACAAATAGAGACAGTTTTATTTCTCCCTTTCCTATTTGGGTGCCTTTTTTTTTCTCTCTTGACTAATCGTTCTGCCTAGGACTCCCAGTACTTTGATGAACAAAGTGATGAGAGTTGGACTCCATGTGTTCCTGTTCTTTTGAGGAAGAGCTTTCAGCTTTTTGACATTGAGTGTGGTGTATCGGCTATGGGTCTGTCATATGTGGCCTTTATAATGTTGATGTATGTTTCTTCTGTATCCAGTGTTTTTTAATATTGTTGAATTCAGTTTGCTTATATTTTGTTGAATGTTTTTACAGAGATATTGGCCTGCAATTCTTTTTTCTTGTAATGTTCTTATATGCTATGGTATCATGGTAATGCTGGCCTAGTAAAATGAGTTTTTAAGTATTCCCTTCTCTCTGTCTTTTATGATAGTTTGAGAATTGTTACTAAATATTCTTTAAGCATTTGGCAGAATTTACCAGTGAAGCCATCTGGTCCTGGACTTTTGTTTGTTGGTAGGTTTTGTTTTTTTTTTTATTACTGATTCAATCTCCTTACTAGTAACTGTTTAGATTTTCTATTTTTTCCTGATTTAGTCTTGGTAGATTGTATGTTTCTAGAAATTTACCCATTTCTTCTAGTTCCAATTTGTTAGCATTTAATTATTCATAGTAGTCTTTTATGATTCTTGGTATTTATGGTATCAGTTGTAATTTCTTTCATTTCTAATTTTATTTTTTGAGTCTTCTCTCATTTTTTTCACGGTCTGTGGCATCTACTTTTTTCCCAAATAGGTATGAACAGTGAAACTGACCCCATCACAGCTTTAATTTAATGGCTTCTGATTAATCTAAGCCAATTATGACAATCCCATTCTCCCTGTTAGAGGTGGGTTTAGAAAAAGACATGTGACCCAGTTTTATCCAGTGATACCTGTTGGTAATATGCTGAGAGACTTCTGGGAAAGATAACCTGTCTTCAGAAAAAAACAGACAAAAAACAGTAAATGAAAAGGTCATATGCTGACTTCTAGAACCACTGCATTAAGGAAATTTTAATTGACTTTATGTTACAGTAAATTTTAATGATATCAAAACTACTGGTAGAGAATATATTTGGAAACAACATAAAATCAACTTGGATTTTTTGTTACTCTGTCATTTTAAAAAACAAATAGGGACTTACTTGTCTCAAGCATCAAGAAATTTGAGTATAGGTCCTTAGCATTGTTTCAGGTACTCACACGACTTTGCTGCTGCTGCAGCCTTAGCTTTCCTTCTCACGCCTGTTCCTTTGCGGCTCCTGGAGGGCTGCTGCACCTCCGGGCGGGAGGAAGGGGAGGGGCCATTTGGCGAGAGGACGTGCCAGCTGAGTCCGCTTGCTTTTGTCAGGAAAGCAGAAGCTTTTCTGGAGCCCCATCTTGAAATCTGGGACATTGTGTTTTATTGTCAACTATTCTCAGTGTATCTGTTTAACCTATCCTATCTTCTCAAATTTAGCTTCAGCTGTATTAATTGGGTAACTTTTCTATTTTTTATTAAACTCTTCATGTTTAATAAACTAAAGTTAGTGTGTTATTCTCACTAGGTAAGACATTTAGTTTGTTTTTTCCAAAATTGGGGCTTCTGAGCAAATATGTAAATTTGTGCTAAGTCCATACAAACTAATATTTTTCATTTGAACCAGGAATTGTAATAATTTAAAAATGAGTTTTAAGAGTTCTTATGTAAAGTTTTTCTATCTGAGAAGAACAGATGACCTATTGGAACATCTGAACTGAACTCCTCTATAAGAATCGTAATACAAACTGTCTTTTTTCCAGGGTCCCTTTTGAGAAAGGAGATTCGTAGTCCATTAAAGAAAAACAGAGCAGCATTTAAATTTAGTATGATACTGCATTCAGGGTTTATCTGCATGGACTTAGCTGTTCTTAGGTTGTAAGCTGAGCTCTGTTTCCTTACATCCCCCTCCTGCCGCCACCTCTGTCCTCTTCACAGACGTGTTTGTTCTCAGTCATTAAGATAAATCATGGATGTAAAAATTTACAGGATAATGTAAGAGTGAAAGAAAATGTGTTTTCAAATTAACTGCTGGAGGTGGAGATGCCTGCTGCAGACAAGGTGGAGCCGCACTGTAGACGAGTGCAGACCAGACTGGAGCGGGGCCAGCGGGGCCTCCTGATAATGATAATGCACTGGGAACGGGACGGAACGCAGCCTTCAGCCTTTGCCGATCCGTGGGGATTAGGCCTCGATCCACAGGGCTCTTCACGCGAGCATTCTGGATCTAGGATAAATGTGGGAAGTAGTTTCTGACCCTGTTAAACTGAGTGGTAATTTAAGTTCATCTCAGTAATTGAAGAAAATAAATGAAGTTTTTATGTGTGTGTTTACCTACAATATTTTTACCTGCTGTGGCTAAAGAGGCCACAGATCCTAAGGGAGTAGATAAAGTGTGTGTATGCTTCAGGACTGTTCTGAAAGAAAGAACTGAATGAATAAGCTATTTCACTAATACTCATCACTCTCCCATTTTTTATGCCATATAAAAGGATATCTCTTAGCATTAATATATGAGAGTATATTTTATTTTTCCTGACATTACTGTGCAGGAGGAGAAGAGTGGGAAATAAGCTTAGTTTATTTCTTCATCTGAACTAAAGAAGAATAAAATCTATCAGTTATATTGCCACAGAATTTTTAATCAGTTTTTTAAAAGTTATTGACAGTTATTGTGGACTGTACTGCATGTTGAGGCTACTTGAAAACAGTGACCAGATTCTTGATCATTATCAGGAAACTGCATTCAGAGAATGAGAAGAACACCCCCACTGGATGAATTGCAGCCACCGCCATATCAGGATGACAGTGGTTCTCCCCATCTCTCATGTACACCCTCAGAAATTGGGGACAGTAAATGTGAATTTTCCCACTGCAGCAACAGTCCAAGATGCTCATATAGCAAGTGCCCGAGTGAAGGAAGCACAGGTCATGGAATAGAAACTTTTCATAACAAAGGATGTGAAGAAGATGTTCCAAGTGACAGCACCGCAGTCCTGAGCCCCGAAGTAAGTAAAAGCACACAGAACTTTTTAAATGATTGTTATTGGGAGAATAATAATCCTGCACTTCTCCTCGTGGTAAGAAGGTTTTATCGCTGTCTTGTCCTTTGTGGCATAATTGTGCCAGTTTCTATCCTAGATTTAATCTTTATCCAGCTGATTTGCCAGGGTGTTCCAACCCGTCTGCAGCTCCCTCTGCCCCCAAAAGACAGTGGGTAGCTAAAAGGGAGAGGAAAACACAGCCTGTTGAAAATTTATCTTCGCCCAAGTTTCAACCTCAAGATAGATTTTTTTTTTTAACTTTTAACATTTTAAACAAAGCATTCTGGAATTATTTACCTGTTTTTTTCTACATTGAATTTTCTATTTGTGTTTGTGTCTTTTTAAAAATATTTTATTTTGGGTATTTTTTACTCTTGGTAAGCTACCCATTAATATTTTACAAAATAACATTTTCACATTTTCCCATCATAGAACAGGGAAGAGAGAAGTCATACTCAGCTTTACTAATAACATTGGAATTCATGGCATAATGCATTCAGAGTGGCTGAGTGGTTGTGTACTAAGTTATTTACTTTGTTGTTGTTATTGGCACCGCTACAGATGCCCCATTTCCTCCCCTTTGCCTGCTTCTCCCACCCCCCAAGCTATTTCCTCTTTTGGAGCAAAAATGTGAAAATGACACCAAAAATAGGGGCAGTACACATTTGAAGTCTTCCTGTGTTAAAAAAGGATTTTTTAAAAATATTTCTATAAAGATAAAAATTATCAAGGTAGTCTAGAGGTTTTATAAGGTAATATTTACTTTTAAATATTACTTTCTTTAGATTGCAGATTTTTACAACTTCTGTCCTAGACAACATTTTGCAAAGCTGTAGCGTGTCATCATTCTTACTGGGTGAATTTTCATCTCCTACCAAAATTTCAAATACAAAACAAGAAGTACGAGGATGAAGGGGAGGTCAGTTACACACTTAGGATAGGCTACCTGTGGTACAGGTGGCCAGACCACACTGCGTGAGTCCTGCTTCCTGTAACGCCCATATGTCCTGTCTCGCCCTTTCTGCTCCGTCAGCCTCCCCCAGTTACATGTGGAAACAAGGACAAGCGTTGAGATAGCAGCAGGGTTCCCAGGACCAGAAACACATAACTTATTTTAGGGGAGCAGTACAGAGGCAAGTACTCCTGGTCAGCGGTGAACCTTGCCAGTTAACCTGCTAAGTAGGCATAGGTTCTATCTGCATTTCTTTCATGGAACACATGGGTGACAGAGCTGTCAGCCCAGAGGTGACGTGGTCATGGCCTTGGGCTTTCCATGCCTTTTCATAGGTAATACTCATCTGTTATTCATGATCTGTTTTCTGCTTATTGTTATCTATGTTTGACATATCTTACAAGTTATTAATTTAGTTAACATTTATACTTAACACATTGTCAAAATTCTGTCTATCTCTGTAGAGTTAATTTCGTTATTCATTATCTATAGTTAAGACAGCCTGTGAGTTTTGCCCGTATTTCAGAAGCTGTTAACTTGCTATCTGTGTTAACACTTCTTACAAATCTCCCCTGTCCTGCCTAGTTTTGTGTCTTCTACAGCAGAATAGACTATATTCAAGCAATAGAGCAAATAAATGCACATTGCATAAATATTCAGATCCTAATAGCCTGTTAGTACAAAATTCACTCTTGTGCTTTTAAGTTTATTTTACTTCCCACTATCCCTCTATTGGACATTAGTCCAATACAAAATTTTTGCTTTCCTGTTGCTTTAATTCAGGATTTGGCTACCTCTTAGTGCCTCTCCACATTACACCACTGAACGGGGAAGGGAGTGAGGGTTGAGAAGAACTCCTTGGCGTGGCGTTCATAAACTCTGTTGATGACCTCTGGCTAGGCAAAGTTCAAAACTTTAGGACACCTTGAAAGGAAGAACTATTTTCTAATTGCCAATTGGCAGAATGCAAATATTAATGTGTAAAGGTCCCATTCTCTTAACCCGTGGTTTTGTGAGAATTGTCAGAATGCCAAGGGAAAAATTAGGAAGGCACCAGGAGAAACACAACTCAAAGCGAGCTATCTAGAACCTTATAAAAGCTTTTATTTTATTGCCTTGAAAATCTTAGCTGTCATGACACTATTTTAGAAAATATTTAATTGAAATATCAAAGCCATATAATTAATCATCTTTAATTATCATTATGAAGTGGCATGCTTTAAAACATTTTGCTCTAAACTATAAATTTTTTCACAGAGTAAAAATGCATTTACTCTGATTGAATTCTATGGTATTAGAAACCCATTCTTCTATGAGACTGTTTCCTCTGCCAAGTGTTCTTCGTTTGTCCTCTTTTTTCTGTATAACCAAGTGAGTCGTGGTAAATAAATGTGTAATATTTATAAGATCAAAAACTTGGATCTTTTTGATTCTCTACTGCATCCCTCCCACCTAAGCTAGGGCTTGGCACACAGTAGTGTAATAGGGTAAGTATTAAGCTCTTAGAACTGGAGTCAAATACAATGGGTAAAACCCACAGAAGATGACCTGGTCTTTCATTAACGAGTGTTCAGGGTGAGTAGGTGGCTCTGCTCTACAACATCATTCAGGGGCCCAGTTCCTTCTTTTTGTCACTCTTTCATCCCTACGGTGTTGTTCTAGACCACGTGTTACACAGTCTACACCGACTCACACATCCTGTCTCAGTATCCGCTCTTCTGTGGAAAGTGTGGGAAAGAGAAAGAGAAGGGCAAGTAATTTCTCCTATAAACCTGATGTGTACATTCTATACATTACCTCTGTTTGCCTCCTATTGGCCAAAGCTGAGTCTCATGTTCATCCAGCTATTAGGAAAATTGAGAATTACAGTCTTCTGCTAGACACTGTGTCTCTGGCTAAAACTCAGGTTGTTCTTTTGAGAAGTGCAAAAAAGAGGAGATTGGTGGTCAGTAGTAGTGACTACTTACTAGTAAGTAAGACATTAAATAAAAGTTAAGAAAAATTTAGAAAATTATAACAATGGTTCACATTTTAAAATGAAAAACATTTAATATTTATTAAAATACTTGAAAGGGCCGGTGGTATAGTTGAAAGGTCAGCGACCTGGGTTCAGCGCTGTCAATAACTAGCTGAAACTCTGGTTACATTCCAGATAGTTACACTGGCAGGAATTTGAGACAATTCCAGGTAAAATGGGTACAGTTTCTTTTCATAGCATAATTAAAATGAACAGATTGCATCTTTCTTGAACTTTTGTAATGTGTATCATTCTGCCATTTTCAGTAGTAATCAGTATCAGAAATAATACGTAGTTTTAAATTCAGATTAAAAATTAAGTAGTATATGTTACAGAAAATATTTGGCTGCAAATATTTTGAGGCCTTTGTATTTATACTTTCATATTTCACATTTCCATTGATTTTCAAGCCTAAATGTGTTTATGTTATGTTATAGAAGGAGTGTTTTACAACAAACTCTGAAAAAAGGACCAGTTTTTCAATAGCATAATAGTTTTATTTATGTTCTTTTGTTGTCCAGGCTAATGTTGAGCTGTCAGTTGCATTGTTTATATTGAAAGTAAAAGTTAGTCGTTTCCTACACCTTGAAGTACATATTTTCAATTCTCATTATAAAAACATGTCCCAACTTTCTCAAAATTGTGAATGTTAAATTCTGTCTTTCTATACGTTTTTGAGTTTAGCTCATTACTTACAACTACTGTGGCCCTGTAGAGTAGCTTCTGATTGCAGTAGACTGTTAATTACTGTTTCTTTGTGTTATCAAATCAAAACAGTTCTCCCATCATCCTCCTAAAGAAATACCAGGTTTTTATTTACATGCCAGATTAAATAATAGAGTTAAAACTGAAAATGTTTCAATTTGCTTTTCTTAGGATATGTCAGCTCAAGGATCATCTTCGCAGCTTCCTAAACCTTTTGATCCTGAGCCAGAAGCTAAATATGGCACACTGGATGTGACTTTTGACTATGACTCACAAGAACAGAAGCTTCTGGTAACAGTGACAGCTGTCACAGATATCCCAACATATAACAGGACAGGTGGCAACTCATGGCAAGTACACCTTGTTCTTCTACCTATAAAGAAACAGAGAGCAAAAACCAGCATCCAGAGAGGACCATGCCCTGTCTTCACAGAAACATTCAAATTTAACCATGTTGAATCGGAGATGATTGGAAATTATGCAGTTCGATTTAGACTGTATGGTGTACACCGCATGAAAAAAGAAAAGATTGTGGGGGAAAAGATTTTTTATTTAACAAAATTGAATCTTCAAGGGAAAATGTCATTACCTGTGATATTGGAACCGTCTTACAATCATTCTGTGAGTATCTGATCAAATAGACCACATACAGTTTAAGTTCATGGTATGCACAATTTTAATATAACAAACCCAGCAACCTTTTTATTCTATTTTGTACATAGTAATCATGCCTTTACAAAATTTCTAAGCTCTGAATAGGTAGGTGTAAATTTTTCTCACCTATAAAAGTTGCCTTTGAAGATTATATATGATTTATGTATTTTAACCTTCTCAAGAGTCTAGCTCAGTATCTTAAACACTTGTTCCGTTGTTAAACATTTATTAGATGGTTGATTATGACATCATCTGAACTCCTTATAGAATATATTGTTTTCTTTCCAGGCTAAAACTAAGTGATATTAAGAGCTAACTAGCTCCTTTGATACTATTTGCCCGTGTAGAAGATGTATTGCTGCCTCGGTCATGACTGCTATGAAATAGTTTTTAAAGGTTGAAAAACAATGGCCTTGTTATGTTTTCCACCCTTTTAAATGAAGGTTTTGTAGTATTTCTGGGAGAATACTTAAATTTAGTTCTATGAGCTGTTCTGCCTTTCCTCTTTTTTCTCTAGGTTCTGATCATATAAAACTATGTGTGTTTGTGTGTCTCTCTTTATCTCTCTCTCTCCCTGTATTTTTAACTAAATTCCCACAAGGCATTGCAGATCACCAGAGAGCTGCACTGTTTATTTCAACCAGGGAGATGCATTATGCCACATAGTTACTTAGATTATGAGAAAATCTGTGGTATGCTGTAAATGTAAATTATGAATTATATTTACTCATCTATTATACTGACAAAAAACATTTTTATATTATAAATATACAGATTTCAGAATAGATTAATATTTTAAAATAATGGTGTGATATTTTAAGGTTGTTTTTAAACTTTTAAGTGTGTAAACATAAGTCCGAGATTAGAGTCTCATTGAATTTATACCATTCAGCATTAGATCATATTGGACTGTCATTCACAATAGAAGCCCATACCATTTTAGCTACTGATCACTCAGACTGAATAATGAGAAAGTTTAAAAATCATATTAAGAATGGAAGAGTATTCAATTGACCTTCACTTTTTTTCTCTCCTCTGATAAATTGATTTCATTTTTTTAAAGGCATTTCCTGTAACTGCCAATTTTGAAATTTAAAATTGTAACAAGTTACCAGTTTTCCTACTAAAGACTAAATATCCTACAAACCCATAGGGCTATACTATATTTACTATCACTTTTTGGTTTTTTAAATTTTTAAATGTTGAAGTGTTTGTGGTTGATTACTTGTCTCTTTAGTTACATAGGTCCCTAACTAGGGAGCATTTTGCCCAAGAGTTGTTACATCAAGAGCCAGGATTTAGATAAGAGCAGATGATTTGGATAAGATTTTGGACTTTGAGATGATGAGATTTAAATTCATGTGTCTGGTCTTTTTACTTTGAACTGATAATATAGTAGGATGAGACTTTTAGGAGTATTAGACTAGGGTGAATACATTTTACATGTTGGATGTATGTGAACCAAGGGGTCCAGAGGGCATACTGTGGCAGGCAGAATTCTAAAATGGTCCCCATGACCTTCATCCCCTAGTATTACTCCTGTGGTTATGTTATGTTACATGGCAAAGAGATTTTGAAGATGTAATTAAGGTGATTAGTCAGTTGACATTAAGATAATATATTATCTGGGTGAGCCTAACCCAGTGATGTGAACCCTTTAAAAGCAAAGAATTTCTCTTGATTGGTAGCAGAAAAAAGTGATGTAAAGCATGAGTGGGATTCAACACAAAGTTCTCTGTTGCTATGGTGGACTGAGTCATGGTAGAAGGACCAAAGAGCAGCCTCTAGGAGCTGAGGGGAGGCCTCTAAGAGCTCTGGCCAGCTGCCAGCAAGACTGGAGGGACCTCAGTTCTATGACTGTAAGGAACTGAATTTGGCCAGCACCTGAGTGAACTTGGAAGAAGATTCTTCCCCCACAGGCTCTAGATAAGAGCCCAGCTGAGCCAACACCTTGATCATGGCCTTGTAAGACCCTTAGCAGAAAACCCAATTGAACACACCCAGACTTTTGACCTACAGAAACAGTGAAATAATAAATGGGTATTTTTAAACCTATGAGGTTTGAAGTAAATTATTACACATCAGTACAATACTAACACAGACTTCTGGTGAAGATGGAAACATAGGTAGCTGTGCTTGCCTCCTTACACAACCGTAGAAAGAATTACAACCAGATCTCAAAATTAATAACACTCAGAACTGTCAGAAAATCAAGCTGTGTGGAAGTTTGACAACCAAGAATTTAAAGAAGACATTCATCCAGATGGGCAAGAGGGGCAAGAGCCGCAGAGATGGGCAGAGAGGCGGTGTGGAGTGGAAAGACAGTAGCTGTGGCGTGGAATGAATGGGAGGGATACCGCGGGAATGAGCTATCCCAGCCCCAGGACAGGCCACACAGCTCAGGGTTCCAGTACTAGGAAGATAGATCCCCTCTACCTCTGGCTGTAAAAATGAGTGGGGCTTGGAGTCGTGGAAGAAACTGCCAGATTTTCACCAGCTAAAGGGCTGGCATAGACTTAAAACGTATGCAAACCCACCCACTCCAGGATTCAGCATCGTAGCAGCAGCTGGAAGGGCACCAGTCACACATAGGTAGGGAGGGAAGTTACTGGAAACAGGGTGAGTGCCAGGAAAACTGCTAGAAGCCAGGTGGCAGCATTGTCCCCTCTGCAAACCCTCCCCACACAGCCACAAAGTGATCGAGTGGTTGCTCCACCCTGGCAGTTACCTAAGGCTCTGCCCCACATGATTTACCGGTGCCTTTTCTGCTATGGGCCATGCTATGAAGACGGGGAGTAGAAGCAGCTCTACCTAATATACAGAAACGAACATAGGGTGGCTGCTAAATTGAGGAGACAAAGAAAAATGAAAGAACAGAACAAACCCCCAGAAAAAGAACTAAGGGAAACAGAGATAGGCAACCTATTAGATGCAGAGTTCAAAACACTTGTTATCAGGATGTCAGAGAACTTCTTGAATATGACAAAAAAATAAAGGAAGAAATGAAGGTAACGTAAGTGAAAGAAAGAATAATCCACAGGAAACCAACAGAGAAGGGAAGGAAGCCAGGATTCAGATCAACGATTTGAAACATAAGGAAGAGAGAAACATTCAACTAGAACAAAAAGAAGGAACAAGAATTCAAAAAAAGTGAGGACAGATTTAGGAACCTCTGGGACATCTCCAAATGTACCAATATTGGAATCATAGGGATGCCAGAAGGAGAAGAGGAGGAGTAAGAAATTGAAAACTTACTTGAAAAAATAATGAAAGAAAACTTCCCTAATTTGGTAAAGGAAATAGACATATAAGTCTAGGAAGCAAAGAGAGTCCCAAACAAGTGGACCCAAAGAGAAGCACACCAAGACACATCATAATTAAACGGCCAAAGGTTTAAGATAAAGGGAGAATCTTAAAAGCAGCAAGAGAAAAACAGAGTTACCTACAAAGGAGTTCCCATAAGACTATCAGCAACTTTCTCAAAAGGTACTTTGCAGGCAAGAAGGGACTGGCAAGAAGTATTCAAAGTGATGGAAATAAGGAACAAACTGACAGTGACCAGAGGGGAGAAGGGTGGGGAAAGAAGGGAAAGGATCAACTCAAAGAACATGTATAAAGGACCCATGGACAAAGACAACTGGGGGGAAGATTGAAAGTGGAACGTGGGGTGTGGGTAGGGCAGGGGAGGGAATGGGGACAACTGTAATTGAACAACAATTAAAAAAAAAAAAAGCAAGGACCTACAACCTAGATTACTCTATCCAACAAAGCTATCATTTAGAATCGAAGGGCAGATAAAGTGCTTCCCAAACAAGGTAAAGCTAAAGGAATTCATCATCACCAAGCCATTACTACATGAACCATAAAAGGGACTTACTTAAGAAAAAGAAGATCAAAACCATGAACATTAAAAAGGTAACAGATTCACAACTATCAACAACTGAATCTAAATAAACAAGCAAACCAAGCAAATAACCAGAACAGGGACAGGGTAACAGATACGGAGATCATTTAGAGGGTTATCAACTGGGAGGGGGAAGGGGAGGAAAAGGGAAGTGGTGCAGGGATTAAGAAGCATAATTGCTAGGAACAAAATAGGTGGGAAAGGTAAGAATAGTGTAGGAAATGGAAAAGCCAAGAACTTAAATGCACAACCCATGGACATGAACTAAGGGGAAGATTGCTGGAGGGAATGGGGGTACCACCTGAGGGTGGCAAAGGGGGAAAAATTGGGACAACTGTAATAGCATCATCAGTAAAGTATACTTAAAAAATTAAAAATGAAAGGTTTTGAATTCCAAAACAGCAAAAGAAAAAGAAAACTAATACAGCCCACAGGGCCTAAAATATATTACTGTCTAGCTCTTTACAGAAAAAGTTTGCTGACCTCTGCACTAGACAGCTAGGAATTGAAATTGAATATCAGATGTGCAAATCACTTCTTTGTTGAAGCAAATACTCAGAAAACATTCTGTAAATCTATTTTTCACCTTGGTGGGATGTTCTTTACAAATTCATGAAGTTTCCAGCAAAATACCTTTATAAAACTATAAACATATAAATCAAATCTGCAGATATTCCCTATTTATTCTTTTTCTTCATGGTTGCTCCCTCAGCTTTAACTTAGAGAAACATCATTTATTTTAAAAATAATCTCTGTGAGGAAGAAATATTTATGTAAAATGCTATTTTATTTCATTTTCTTCTATTAACTTTATATAAAGTAAAATGGATTTTTAAATAAAAAGCTACAGTTTGATTCCATTTTTTATAAAGTTATTTCTGTTCCTACTGTTTGTACATATGTATGGAATTACATCTGCAAGATGTTTATTTAATGACAAGTTATAAAGTTTAAGATGATTTTTAATTTCTATCTTTGTTCATTTCTGTATTATTTGGATAATTTATGATAACCATTTGTCAGTTTAAAGACAAAATGGGAGTCAGAAATGGTCAGGGAATTT